CACCAAACAGGATTACACTCAAAAAATAACTGGTAATCAACATAAGATATTTACAGATGGTAGCAAAAATGAAAACATGGTAGGAGCTGCAGTCGTCGTGCATAATCCTGATGGGACTAAGGACACCACAAAATTTAAACTCCACTCCGCCTGCACCGTCTTTCAGGCGGAACTGTTGGCAATTTCTAAAGCCGTAGAATGGATCGCAAATAATAACATCTATACGGCCACTATATTTACAGATAGCAAATCAGGGCTCGAAGAGATTGCGAATCCCAACACCAGAAACCCGCAAGTGGTTTCGATACACCATACAATCAATAGAATTCGTGAGGAATGCAAGGAAACAAATTTTGTGTGGGTGAAAGCGCATGCAGAAATAGAAGGCAATGAGGAGGCCGATGTTGCTGCCAAAAGCGCTGCTCATCTACATAAAATACTGGATTATGACAGGTTCCCCATCAGTTATGAGAAGTACATAAATAGTCAGCGCAGCAATGTAGAAACAGAAAAATTATATACTGAAATAGATAACTCAAAATACATCAAAATACTAATACCCACATATGAACTGCTCACACAAGTAACTGATAAATTCAAACCGGACTTTGAAATAACGCAATATTTGACAAATCACGGCTATCACCGCGAATATCTACATCGTTTTTGCATAACTGACGGGGATGCGTGCCAATAACTATATACAAACATTTGAACATCTTATAAAAACTTGCCCACAATAACTAACAGTAGATACATATAAAGATACCTTTTTTTTTTTTTTTTTTTTTTTTTTTTTTTTTTTTTTTAACGAGGGGAAAATCTTCAGAAAGAGACCCACCGCCAGCGGGATGACGATGGGTACTGTGGGATTCTTACCCACTAAAAACCCCCGGTATTCCTCTCCGCGCCTTAACACCGGTGGCCTGGGTGCGCTTCCGCAATCATCCACACCACCAGCGGCGCTGCCCCATCGGGCCTCTCGAGTGGAGCGCCGGGAATACGCAGCGCTCCGACTCTCGGATCTCCTGTCTCTTCTGGGCGCCGGATGATTCCCGCCATCCGCCGCCTGAGATCCACGTCAGAGCCGACGAACTTTATGTGTCCATCGACTCACCGCCCCCGCGGCCATCTCGTGCTTTAGCTCGAGCCTTCCGCGGTTGGCTGCACTTGGCCGTGCCACCCACTCTGTGGTCCGCCTTCCTACCGGCCGCGGCGCAGACGCCGCATCTCGGAGATGGCGCAGAACAATTTGCGGACTTGTGGCCCGCCTGCCCGCAACGAAAACATAAAACGCCTCCGCCGGTATCGACTCTCGCGGTGCACCGCTGTGCTACGTGCCCTAAGAGCAGGCAGCGGTAGCACCGCAAGGGACGGGGATCCAGAGGTTGAACCCGCGCCATCACCCAGCCAACTTTTACCCGGCCAGCCTTGGCCAGTGTTTTGGCAGCTCCCACTGGGCAGCGCACCCAGATAGTGCCGGCACCCGAAGGGCTGCGACGGATCTCCCCCGTAGTAACAGAGGCCTCGCCGCAACCCCCTACCCGCGCGACCGCGGCGACCACATCCGCTGGAGTTACGGAGTCGTCAAGATCCCCGATGCGCAATTCCGCCGTTTTCACCGGCCTGGAGATCCTGACTGTTCCCTCGGGCAGAACTTCTGTCAGCTTGGTCGCCAACAGATCTGCCTTCTCGCCGGAGTCGGCGCCTGGCACTTCCAGGATGCGCGAGCTAGTGACGCCCAGCCTATACCTAACTCCAGATATGCCCAGTTCTTGAGGCGACAGCTTCTGAAAGGCCTCCCTGAACACTTCTTTATAGGTGATACCTCGCTCCTCGGCCTCAGGCAAGAGGGTCAGAACCACTGCTTGAGACTTTGGCTGGCGGAACCGCCTCCGCTTCCCTTTCTTCTTTTTGCCGGCCGGTTGTTTGGCGGGCCCTGCCTCTTTAGGAGCCGTTTGACTGGCGGGAGCTGCCTGGGCCTTTGTTACCCTGGACCGCTTGCCCCGTCGGACCACCGTCGACCATCTCTCCGACACATTATTGGACGACGGCATGGGAGCAGCATCGGCACCCGACTCAGTGGCGTTGGCCGGCTGGGTGAGCGGGCCATTCCTCTCGTGTTCCTCCTGGGCACCCCGTGACGTGGATGGCTGCGAGGCACTCTTTTTGTTCTTCCGCTTTCGTGGCGGCCGAATTTCGCCGGCTTGGCTAAGCCGTTCCTCAATGATGGCAAATCGGGCATTGAAGATATCCCCGATCTGCCGAACAATCCTAGCCTCCATGCCCTCAATTTCTGGAGGGACCACACCCGGCTGTAAAGGGGCCGGGGCGGCAGGCGCTCTCTCCGCGGCCGCAGACGCTGAGGGTGGCTGTGTAGCCTTCTTGGCCTCCTCCAGCTCTTGCCTCAGACGACGAAGCTCGCGACGGTCCGCAACGTACTGCTCCGCAAGCTCTGCATTTTCCTTGCGCACTAGCTCTAGTTCGCGCTGGAGCTCACTGTAGGCCGAGGTGTTGGCCGACTGGTCGCCGCCCGATGACGAAAGTGCCATCCGCAACGCCTTCATCTCTTTGCGATCCTTGATCGCCTCCTCCAGCATGCCGTCCATTCTGACGCGCTGGTTCGCCATCTCCGTGGCCAGCCGAGCATTCTCCTTCCGGAGTTCGACGTACTCGGCTGAGGTGCCCCTCTCGAGCATCTTCTCGGTCACGATGCGGATCCCGGTCAGGGAGGACTTGATCTCTTTAATTATGGTTCCTTTTATGTTACCGCATTTCCGCACCGTTTCCGATATGTGGCTCACGTAGCCGTCCATCTCTGCCTCCAAGGGGTCGGTGAACTGACCCCCGGGCTGAGGGGGTTTCTTGAACTCCGAATGCACCGACATTCTGGAGGAGCCTGCCACCGCAGGGGCGACCTCACATTCCACATCCCGTTTTTTGGCAGCAGCCAAGTCGGCTTTCGCCTTCACCAATCCAGCGCCCCGACCCTTCGCGCCAGACGTCGAGAGAAGAGTCTTCTCCAGCTCGGTCGTCGTCGGGGGCACCGTGTTTCCGCCCTCATACAGCGAAATGCTGAACTGACTGCTTGCAGTCTTTGCCGATTTTTTAGCCGCGTTCGCCTTTTTGGCGGCCGACTGTGTGTCTCGTCCGGATCCTGTAGCCGACCCATCGTCGGTTTCGGATATGCGCCTCTTGCGCGAACGGGGGCGCTCGAGGAGCCCATACTCGTCTTCGCTAAACAGGCTTGCCACCGAGGTCGACCGCGATAGCAAGCTGTCGATCTCGCCAGCAAGACTGGCCAGTTCCTCATCCGTTGCCGGATCCACGTCCATACTCCGACGGGCCCTGACTGGCACGACTGTGGTCGCCAGGCCCGCCCCCTTCTCCAATTCTCCCAACTTCTCAACCCCTACTCCTTCAAGGCCTTGTTTTGCTCCCCCCAGATACGTGGAGCTGACCACCCCCGGCTGAACCGGTGCGGTGGTGGCGGATTCTCCATCTCCCGATGGTACCGCCCTGGGGTCATTAGTTTTGAACTCGGCCATTTCATCTGTTTCCTTTTTTAACGGGTGAGGTCCCGTAGCAAGGCGAAAGGAAATTGAAATTTGAAAATGGATAGACAAACAAAAACGACAGAAAAGAGAAAGATGACAGAAAAGACGACAGAGAAGATATAACAAAAACAAAAACAAAACAAAAACAAAAACGAAGAAAAACGAAACAGAAGTAGAAACAAAACGAAGAGCGAGTCAGGCAAGTCCGCAACACAAATAGTGCGTCACGAACTCGTCCCACCCGCGGCGTCGGAACATTAGCCGTCGGTAAGTGAGATCTCTAAATAGCGAGAAGTCACTTACCGCCGTTGCCCAGGATGCACCAGGCCCCAGCCATTGTCAGCCACCGTTCCCGCCGGACGTATCCGCACCAGGACAAGTGACCGTACAATGAGCCAGGGCACTCTTGGAGGTTTTCCGACCCAGCACCCCAACCCCTAACCTAACCTAACCTAACCTAACCTAACCTAACCTAACCCTAACCTAACCTAACCTAACCTAACCTAACCTTTTTTTTTTTTTTTTTTTTACATGTGGAAAATGCGTCATGCAGAGACACACCCCCGGGGGAGGGTGTGAATACTGCCGGACTCCTACCGGCTAAAAACCACATGGCATTCCCTCGCCGCGCCTTAATGTTGGGGACCCGGGTTCCCTTGCGTAGTCCACCGGGATCCCAACGGCGTTGGCCCGCACCGGCTCGCGGGCCCCGACTCAGTTTGGGGCGGGTACGAGATGTTGAATACCCACCCCCGTCTAGGGGAAGCGCGCGGGGATGCGCGCGCGACTTCCCAGGGCCATGTTGGTGTGGAGTGGGACTGCCCCCGCAGTCGTCACCCCGGCCCTGTGGCGATGTAATTATCGCCGGAGAGGAGGGCGGGACTACCTGCCCGTTTCCATCTCCTCTCCCTCCACACTCACCCGGCCTGCTGGGTTCGGCAATTTCACCGGTTGCTTCTTACGCTTCTTAGGAGGAGTGCAGGCCTTGGACCCCACCCAATGGTCCGACGGCCGGCCCTGCGCTGAACACACAGCGCACTTTGGGTCGGCCGCGCACATCGCCGCCTTATGGCCTTCGTTTCCGCAGCGGTAACATAGACCGCTGCGGTCCTGCTCATGACTGCAGGATGCCCGCACATGTCCTTCCTCCAAGCAGCGGAAGCACCGAAGCGGCCTCTGCCGCAGGAGCTCTGCTTTCGCCGAAACCCAGCCTATACGAACTCGGCCGGCGACCGTCATCTTCTTAACTGCTTGCAATGGAGCTTTAACCCAGCAAGTGCCCACCCCAGATCTAGTACGTCGAACCTCTCCGACTCGCACTTGGTCCACCTGACAGCCGCCCTCCCGGGCAACCGCAGCGGCCACTTCCTCCGACGTAACACTGTCGTCCAGGCCCGATATCCGCATCTCCGCGGACTTTACGGGCCTGGAGATTTTGGCCATATTCTCCGGGATGAACTCCCGGAGCTTCGACGCCAGAACGTCGGCCTTCTCCGCGCCATCAGCACCTGGAACCTCTAGAACCTTACCGCCGGTGATCGCGGTGCGAAACCGCATATCTTCGATCCCCAATGCGCGGAGATCGATCCTTCTCTTGGCCTCCGCAAGGACATTCGCATACGCGACACCCTCCCTTTCCGCCTCCGGGTCCAACGTAATAATCACCGCCGCGGAGCGAGGCGGTTTCAGTTTAGAAGGCGAGGGTGCGCTCGTCTTCTTTGCCTTCTTCGAGGGGGCCGAACCGGCTTTCGTCACCGGAGGGTTGACAGCCACAGGCTGCCCTTCGGGAACACTGACGGTCTTGCCCCGTTTTCCTTTTACGACCGTCGCCCAGGAGGACGCGGTCGGCTGCACAGACGTTTGAGCGGAGGTCGAAGCCACCGGCTCGGGCTGTCCAGAGGGCGCCGGTGTGACGGGCGTCTTCTTCGCCTTCTTCTTCTTGGCCCGACCCGTTTCTGACTGGGGAAGAGAACCCCGGTCGCCGACTCTAGGGGTGTCGGGCACATCTGACGCCATTGTCCCGGCCTCGGGCAAAGTTTGCGTGGAGACCGCAGACGAGGACGACACCTTCTCTGGAGGGGGGCGAATGGAGATCATTTCTCTCACCTCTTTCATAAATGTCCCTACCATTTGGCGGACG